CTTTTCGTCGTTTACACCACAACAAAAAAAAATTGTTTATAGCGCGCCATTATTGAGAGAGATATAATATTAACGTGTAATAAAAGATTGTGTTTCATTTATCTTTAACTATGGCTTCTGTAAAAACAATTCAAATGTATTTTTTTACATTTGCGGACAATATACAATAGTTAAGCAAAGATTGAATATAACAGACATTGTAAAAAATGCTTATTAAGCTTACTTCAGAATGAACTTGTGTCACCAAGATAAACACTGGGTTACGATAAAATACGCCTGTTATGTGCTGAAGTGTTAAGACAGTGAACTTATGGCAAATCAAATCATTTTTATCCGGTATTTCTATATCCAAATTAGAATGCAATTGGAAGTCGGAGTGAAAAATGTCATCAATACGAGTTAGAAAGAAGAAAGTATTGCTTCCACCACTTTACATTAAACTTGGTTTGATCAAACAGTTTGTAAAGGCATTTCGACTTGACCAACGGNTGGTTTGATCAAACAGTTTGTAAAGTCATTTCGGCTTTACCAACGGTGATTATTTAATGTTTAGATATCGAGGTCATGATCTATATAGGTTTTAAGCATATAAAAAAATCGTAAGGACACAAAAAATTACTTTTTAAGAAAAAAGTCAATTCAAAAATCACGTTTTTTTGCTTATTTTCGATCTTTCCATGCTTTAATATTGTCGAAGGTATTTTTAACCAACACCATCGAAAAGAGCATCGTTAAAAACATAGAAACACTGGTTATCGAATATTTTTTCGTCGCACTCATTACGTGGCAAGGGTTCAAATGGAAATGTGTTCTCTGAGCATTTATGGGTTAATGTGATGTGGTATATACCATATAAATATCGTTTTCTATTACTTTTAAGGCAATTACGACAAATATTAACAATTTAAGAAAAAAACTTTTCAAAAGAAAAATTCGCATACTTGTGTTATTAGTAAATTTTCGCACTAAACCTTTAGAAATTATTGATTACCTGAACTTAGCAATGATGACTGCGATTGGGCATGAGAAATAGAAGTTCTATGCTCATATGAATCTTTTGTTGCAGCGTCGATATCTGAAATATCGTTCAACTGAAATATGAATGCTCACTCGAAAATGCTAATATTAAAAAAAAAAGCTTCAGTACCTTTCATGGATGATCCAACTATGTCTTGAAAGTTTACTCGGGTACATTTAAACAAGCTGAAATAACATTTTGTTCTCAACAGACCTTTCCTGCACTGTGGATTGCTGGGATTAAACCTGAAATTAGAATAGCATCCGATTACGCCACCGCATTCGAATACAGTGAAAGCCGTTTATAACGGCCCCTTGTACAGCGTAGGTTCGTTTATAACAACGTTTGTTTTGTGAGTTCATTATGGTTATAGCGATCTTCAGCTATAATAACATAATTTCGTTGGCCCTTTGTCGCCGTTATAACCAGACTTTACTGTAATTTCCTGCATTTTAAAGATATCAAAAAGGTTGAAAATAACACACGTAAACTCCGTATCACGCGAAGTAGTCAAAACTTTATTTAGTTGGTAATTTTAAGAGGTAATAGTCCTTACTGAGTCTGCATGTTCAGCTTAGATTCGAAATTTAATGTAGAACGTTCCGTTCGTATTCCGTTATTTAAAAATACAACTTTCGAAGCTATTTTAATCTTTATAAGCACAAATGGTTACAAAATACAAAATACAAAACGCGTTTCGTTTGAGAAATGCCATATTATTGTTGTAATTCCAGGTCAGTGTCAATAAGGGCGGACACCACTTGGCAAATTTATTGCTTGAGCCGCCACTTTAAGTTATACGAAATGTGTGTAAAGTTCGATTTTTAACATTGGCTAAGTCAGTGAAATGGTCTACAAAAAGTGGATAGATCACCATTTTTGATAGGCCTGTTTTTTAATATGTTGGGGTGCAGTGTTCGCGATTCGTAAGACCTCTTTTGTAACTTATTAAATAATCTATAACTTTTATCAATACTCTTTTCGATATTAATGTCTCGATAAATATTTTGAAGTTTTTACGCCTTGAAGGAAAAGGTGTTGTAAATGTGAAAATTTGAAGTATGTAAAAAAGAAAACTGTAATCACATGAAAGATCGTTAACAAAACTTCAAGAACAGTAAAGAGTCAATCTCGTGTTTGTTTTTTAAGACTTCTGCTAATTGTAAGTAGATTAATCGATAGGCTTACGAAATAGTTATGGCCTTATCTTCCAATGGATGAAATCTTCCATGTGCAGTAGAACACTTGAAAATACCTGCTTCATAATAATCTTCTTGCGAAACCATCTACATATTGAGCATAACAGAATAGCGTTACGATAAGAAATATTAATAGTAATCGAAGATTTCGTTAATCACAGGTGTAGAGAAATATAAGAATTAATTCTCAATTGAAAATTGGATCTTTGATTTTATTTTAATTTGTGTTTTCATTTCTTTTTAACATTTTATTAAGTGCTGTTTTCCTGTTCAGGGACGTGAATTGCCGAAATACACACAGACTTTTAATTCGTCCAATTGAAACTGAAAGTGTACTATAAAATTTAATAGCACGAGTGGCGAACATCTTCACATCCAGCACAGGAGCTGGAAGGACATTTGAAGAAGTTCGCCTTTCGTGTTCGCGTAAGCCTTTACCAATTTGTCTCAATTTAGTGTATTTTAGAGAAAACTACAGGTGTAAAACTGACGGATTATTTTTGTCTTACTGTCTCTGACTTTTCATATTCAATGAAGGTACAGTACATTGTTTTGCAAACACTGTGATTACGTATAACCAACGATCTGCTGATCGAGACTCCAAAATACGTTTTTCCAAAATCCAATAACAACGTGTTGTCACTGATAGGTGGGGGATGTAATATTTTGAAGTGAGGTTGCAGAACGCAGGCGTTGACTTTTACAATTATAGGTTTCCTACATTTTATCCAAAATTGGGTGGTGTGTTCGCCAGGTTCTTCACTCATCATTTGCACACTAAATCTAGCGGTTTCTTTTGGCTGAAAGTCAAATTTTATATCATAATTTCCTTAAAAGAGCTTCTATAGTAGCATTACTGAGAGAATGCATAATGGGAACGACATACGGCATGTAATCTTTCTTTCATACTGTAGCATGTAGGTACAAAGTTAATTATGACTTATGTTTGACTCTAGAGTAGATAATCTCAGAAAATAAAGTTGTTACATATTTGAACACGCACAGTTGGTAGTCAAACAAAAGCTATTGAGATCCGTCAAATGGGCATACACCATCTGGTGGCAAAATTTATAACTCGAATGAGGGAAAAATTTACATAGGAACTGTGCACGCAAATTGTAAAATTGTTTATTAAAATAATAAAACACGTTAAAAAAGTAAAAATTTTTTTGATGATGGAGTCGACGAAGTTTTCTTCTAAAGTTAAATCAAATAAAAAGTTAATATGTTCAGTGAAAAGCTGCAATAGCACTTCAGACATAGATCTTCACTCTTCACCTACATTAACTACAGTCGACGAAGTTTTCTTCTAAAGTTAAATCAAATAAAAAGTTAATATGTTCAGTGAAAAGCTGCAATAGCACTTCAGACATAGATCTTCACTCTTCACCTACATTAACTACTTTCCAATAAAAACTAACCGTTTTATATATGTAAAAACTACATTCGGAAAATTAGAGAAAAAAGTAAACTAATAGAAGCTTGGATGAAAGCAGTAGGTATCAAAGAAGTGAATTCCGGAATAAAAATTTGTTCACGTCATTTTAATGCACATGATTATATTTCAGCAAGAATTTACCATCAGCCATAACCTTAATATTTAAAACTAGATCTCACTAAAATTAAAAAGTGAGAAATTATTTATTCCTGTGTAATTGATTTAACCCAATTCTAATGATACGATATAAGTATCTTGAGGTTAAGAACCTACCTGCTGCAATACAACAAAGTTGCAATAATGTGTTTGATATAACGTGAATCACTTTTTAAATCCGAAGTTTGTAAAAAGTAGGCAGTAAACTTGATGGAATTTGTTATTTCCGACATTTATAATGTGATTGGCATTAAAAACACGCTCACCTTCAACGAAATTTCCTTTCCGAGATTTTGTGTCAGCCCAATCACATATTGTGTCAATACTTATCATTTTATCGTAATTTAAAAACTTGGAAATTGCACGGTACACTATAGGAACTACGATAAATTTTCCCTAATCGGCGCCATGTTTTTAGGCTTCTCCCATTTGACGGATCCCAATAGTATAAAGTAATCCCTTATTGCTAGATTGGTGCGTACAGGCTGTAAGGATGACGTATACGCATTCTCTCAATAATTTTACATTAGATAGGTACCGCCAAGACCCCTCTCGTTGGTTCTACCGTTAATATACATTGGCTCCTATAAATGTCAACTACAAAACGAACTGCTTTTCCAGATAGATTTCTTACTAAAAATGTTTCCGTATGAGATAACCGTTGGGCGTTTATATTTCCAAAATTTATTTCGTTAGGTATTGCCTCAATCTGTATTTCGGACATTATACTTAAAAAAAACAGTAACCATTTTTACCTTACTCGATTACTACATCGTATATTCGACTTTTAGAAATGTAATGTGCAGATTTCTTACTTAAACAATGGATATAAGAACAGGTGGTCATTGATGTAGATCGGAATTTCGGCGTAAGGTGATATAGATGCTTTTGTATAATTATAAGTTACTATTCTTTTGATTGTTAATCCTGGGGAAAGCTTCTGCCCTCTCACGATGGGCTTTATTGTAAATACCTGAAACAAACGTCGTATATAGATAAAGCATATGTCACTTTTGTAAGTATATGCCGAGCTTTGTAGGGTATAAACTAGATTTAGTAAATTGCACGGTGAGAAAAAAGAATTTTTAGTAAAGCACAATCCGAAGCCGGTCCTGTGCATGAGCTGGCAACATAGGTGTGTGCTATGAAAATTCTGCAACTACATGAATGGAGTATGTAAACATTGCCGATTATTTATCGAAAATCTGAGATAGATACATGAACAATTCAATACTACACATATTTCTTTAGAATAAATGCAATGAGCATTGCATGGGAAGGTAGACTTACAAAAGACATTGGATGTTCAATTCTGATAAAGGCGGTTCTAGTGCCACGATTAATAATTGTGATTACTGCCTCGTATGATTGACCTTCCCTGGGATCAACAAATTCAATAAAAGCAGGAGTTATCTTAACATCGTCATATTCTACTGAATCACGATTTTGTAAAGAAATCCGTTTCTTTTCAACAAAAAGCATCAACTCTCCTGCATTCATGGAAGTAAAAAACTGTTGAGAATACCGTTCCATAATGTAAAAAAAAAATAATAAAAAAATAAATACGTAATTCGCGTTAAAAAAAAATAAACTAATGAAATAACCGTTCACATTGATCTGTCTTTATGACATCATTACAATGACATAAGTAAATCAAATGCGATCTATGATAATGATTCATTTTTAATTCAAAAAATTGTTATGAAAATTTGGGGCTTCTTCATAAGCCAGATAACTGCAGGCCAGTAATAAATAGATATTAAGTTCGAAAATTAACAGTTTGTTCTTTTTCGAATTTAATCCTTATCTTTAGCGTTTGCATGGCTTACATGCTACATCCCCTTTTCTACTATGATATACGTTTCTACATTAACTGGAATTTAAAAACTTCATGAATTAGTAACCGCTGATTTCCCCTGCTTCATTTCTCATTTCTACGTAAACGGAGTTTGTGGAAAGCACGGGTTTATTTCGTTTATCCTTGCCTCAATTTGTTTTTCCTGTTCCCTCGCAACCGTGCAGCTTGCGGTGGTGACTGCAGTTGAAGCCATTCGTCTTGAGGAAGGAGGCAGAGGAAGGCAGAAATAATTCCTCAGGGGAATCTCGATACTCTATGATTAATGAGGAGTTGGGCAGCTTGGATTCTCCATTTTTTTTTATTTTCGCGCTGCTGTAAACTCCAACTGTTTGCCTCAGTTTAAAGTTAAACCAAATTCGAACATATCATGTTTTCAAGAAAGTATTTCTGATATGAAATAATTCGAAGTGGTCTGTATTCCGTCGAAACTGCCAGACGCGGATCGCGATTTCGATCTTTTTGGATCCCATCAGCGCGTCGCAGGCAGCTCCGACAGAACACAGACCAACTTTTACCTGCTGTCTTAACAGTGCGTCTTATAAAATACTACAAATGGCGCAGTAAACGCCATCTGTAGCACGATGCTACATTTTAGGATTACGTATGCTCCAACAGTAATATTAAACTAACGTGCTTATCACGTTGAGGTTGGCTACCCCGGGATTCGTTTTCAGCAAGTAGATATCCACACAAGTGGACCTTGTTGGAGCATACGTAATCCTAAAATGTAGCATCGTGCTACAGATGGCGTTTACTGCGCCATCTGTAGTATTTTCTATTTCTGATATGATTACGAGAAACTTTTATAGCATTACATCGTCACATAAATCTTTATAGATCTTCCTCTACATTTGTTTATTCCTTTTTCTGTTTCTAATATGTCTCTAAGTAGTTCATCGAAGGTGCCCTACCGCTCCTTTTCCTTATTGTCTTCCAGAGTTTCTACTGTTTCTGATTCTTCCTAATTTCATCGGCAAGGAGCTAACCAGTAAAAATTACCGTTTCCAGGTGAATTTACTTTTATTCATTCATTTTTTAACCGAAATACTAACTCTAAACAGTTAGGGAAATGCTTCTAGGTTTCGCGACCTTCATCAAAAATTGAATGTGTTAGTAGACATCTCTTTCCCTCTTACTTCCTGTTTACAGAGAGAAAAAGAACTGACTATAGGTAGGATCGATTTCCATGATCCCCTTTTAACACCATATCTCAAACCCGTAGGTACAAAGTTTTCTTAAATAGTTATATTATTACCAGTTCTTTTCGGAAAAGTGATGTTCAGGTCGTGGCGTTTAGCGCATCTTCAGCGTAGTTTTCCTTTGGTTTCGTTGAATAATTGATGCTTCAAGAGAGAATAGAGCGTCTGTTTTGATGGTGCATATTAAAATCCTGGTCGAGTATAAAGGAACAGATTAATATGGGACTTGTTCGCCTCAGGCATCGTAATTTTTAATTATTAAACTTCGCTCGCTCGACAGCCTTAAGGCCCGGTTAAAACATACTTTGCGACTCCGCGAAGAACGAAACTCACTAAACGAACTTAATACATTGAATTAATGGATTACCGAAACACATAAATTATTACGGAAGACTGTAATAAAAAGATTTATTCTATCTAAGTGCTACGTATAAGAAATAAGCAGCTTAAATATAGCTTCGTTGAAGTAACATTTTGAGCGTCTATATTAAGTTATCTCCGAGGAGATTCAATCGTTCAATGCAAATATTGCATTAGGCAAGTTATAGATGTATATTCACTAGTTAAAGGCAAAGGCAAATTACTGTTCAAAGATAACTAATTACGCGATAATAACTTAACGATAATTCTGAAGAGCTATTGGCGCTACCGAAACGTTAGGAAGCAAATCCAACCGACGACGGCCTTTAGTTCAGTAACCAATTAATTTATATGGTTGGTATCAAGAAAACTGAACATAGGTCGGTTTCCCAAGTAAATCTTTTTAAAAAGTAGTTGATAATTCTGGTAGCTCGTGCGTAAACCACAACCAGTATGGATGCTTTTTACAGCAGGAAATTTAGATGACGTATCCTTGATATTCAATCAATTAAACAAAGTTACATAAGTAACTTATTCTTCTAGGTGAAGGTCAAATCTATTTACGCCAGCTAGAGTACCTACTTCTCTATTTTTATTGTGAAATGAAATATGCAAATAGTGCTTATGTTGAATTAAAAGTTACTAGTGTGGGGTCTATACTACTACTACTACTATACCAAGTAATAAAGATTAGGTTTTGGATTTCAGACTATTGTTTTTGGAAATTTCTTTTCGATGTTTCACCAGTAAATACAGCAGTAGGTAGTAAATTGGTTTCAAGGTTGCGTGGTGGAATGTCCCAAGTAAGGGATACATTTATTTCTTATTTTTGCAGAAAGAAGATCCGAAGTAATACCATAATTCTTACGTAAGATAAATATTATACAGTAACTAATAATTTCAAATCATTAGCCTCACTGTATACCTACCATTTATCCTGTCAGATGTTGATCACTTATTTATACGCGCATCAAATATTCCCAATTATTTCCGGAAACTTCTCGTAAGTTCCTCTTGTCTTACCGCCTGTGTATTAATGTGATCTTGATGATAGAAAACCTTTTGTAGTAATCGGGTCTGGTATTAGAAATGTTTGTTATTGTAATATTTATGTATATCAATAAAATAAAAGAATGCATTATAAGGAGGCTTGAAGGTCGATAAATTTAAGAAAATCGGTTGCGTACTGATATACCATAGGCAATTGTTTTTTTTATGCAAAAAACGAAATGATTGTTACATGAAATTGAAAGTCGCAGTTGATCAAGGACGAAAATCAAACAATTCAAATTCTTTAACTAAGTGATTGTTTATAATATGGAATTATTGATTGTGATATATTTTATTGTTAATTATATTATTTATAGATTACGTTAAATTCAGAAATAATATAGTATATGTATTATCATTCTTACTGTACGCATTCATTTGACTTATGTATGTATGTATATACATCATGTATATAATACTGTGTTGATACCGTGGATTGTTGGTAATAATTGTCACTAGGGGATTATGCAGATTGTCGACCAAAGCGATAGATATCAGTCAAAGAGACAACCGTGTACAAGACCAACGTAGCAAAGGCCTCTAACGTAATTAGGAGAAACAGTTTGGAGTCTGTTGTAGGGTATTCGACCATTGAATGGTGCCGTTCCTCTGGGTGCGATGAAGATGACAACGGAAAAGGCCGCCGATCCCATGAGACGCGTCGGACACATTCGGGACGAGACCGTATCTGATTTTAATTCAATTTTCTCAGGGTTTTCGTACGGGAACCGTGAGAACAGAGTAACTCTAAAATTCGATTATTTATTTTTGTAGTCGTTTATTAGATTATAAGTTTTACGTATAAATTTGATTTGTAAATTGGATTAAGAGATATTTTGGACCCATGTAGTTAATTTCTGTACATCAGACACGACATTTGTAGTAAAAAAATCGGAATTGGGTCAATTGCAAGACAAAAGTGGCATTCGCTTTTGATATATGTAGATACTTGATGTTAAAATGTGCTAAAAAATTAAATGCTTCATTGCTTTGGCTAAAGGAAGATATAATTTCTTCATTTAATTAATAAGTGCTTGCTCTCGCATTGGAAATGGTATAAGTCTAAGTACATGAAACATAACTAAAATTCGATGCAGAATTTAAAAATGTCATAAAAAATAAGTGGCTCCATTTGAAAAAATAAAGTCTATGATATTTGCTTATTTTTGAGCCACCCTGTATACATGAATTTACTATGAAAAAACCACAACCAAAAATATAGATCGACGTGTATGATCTAGCGTTTTTCTAAAAAAAAAAAAAACAATCCTTGAATTTTAAATGAATGGAAAATATCATTAGGCATGCTAAAACAGCACCCAAAGTGCTTCCTTACTTCTATTAGATATTGTAAAAACTGACAAAAAAGAAATAATTTTTTAATAAAATATTTTTAATAAACAAATGAAAACAGTCATCGTAAATCGCAAGGTCAGGAGAAAGATGTAAAAGGAATGTTACAACTTATAAATTACACTTTTTTTCATCCAGCACACCTGTTGGCTAATAGAAACTTATGCGGTGTGTGCTAGAGTTGTGATACTTATTAGTTACATTCAGATTTACATAAAATGTTAAATACGATATAAGTACACGAACAACTTATTACAAATCCGGTATTAATATTCCAAGGTTGCCTTTCCACGAAGTACTTAAGAAAATCGTTTCAAAACTATTTAATTAATAATAACAGTAATCTCTTATAGGTAACTGCAATGGATCGCATCGTAATCTACTGGGGGGACGGTATGCTTTTTATTGAAATTTATTAAAATCGTGAACTACAAACAGAACAGAGGTTTTACGAAAATCTCACGGTATTTTATTTTTAATTTTTAGAAGGTGCTTTCTAATTAAAAAATATTAATATAAATAAAAATTAGAGCATACTGGTATCTATTAAATAGATTTATAAAAATAAACTTTTTAAGCAAGAAGACTAGAAGTGATGCATTGGGATGAATAATTGTAAAATAGAAACGTAATTTATAAACCAGAGCATTTTTTACTTTAATAGAGATAACTACAGTAAATAGATCAATTATTTTGCTTTGACTTCGATGTAGGTAGGTATATATAGTCGGTTCAGTTTAATTTTGCCGGTTTTGGATTATAAAGTCAAAATTGTAAATTTTTTATTACTGGAACAATA